TTGAACTCTATTATATTGAAGGTAGAAATACAAAATGGTAGTGCAACTTTGAGAAACACTATGATAGTTTCTTATTTAGTATTAAACAGTATCTTATTTTGGATACTCATATTCTCATTTTTACATTATATAGTGGCTTTGCTCATACTCTTCCAACACTGGAAAAACAAAAAGACTGGGATATGAATAAACAAACAGATGTATACCCACACACTCTGAAATACCATTTAGTGATTAAAAAAGTAACTACTGGTGGGAGCTTTGGTAACCTAGTGGCAAGAAGCTGTACTGCAATCCCAGAGGTGAGCTGTTCGAATCCATCAGATTCTCTGCTGGAGGAGGGACAATCTCCTCCTGTACCAGTCAAATCCAATTTGACTGTACACACACACAGAGTTTAAAAAAGTAACTACTGGTAAGGCAGTAATATGAATGAATCTCAAAGGCATTTTGCTAAATGAAAATCCAGTTTGTCTATGTGTGTTACAATGTGGAAAAATAATCAGTGACTACATCAAACACTTGCCTGAGAATGGAGATGATTTGACCCCATACTTTGATTCACTTGCACTACTGTATGTATTTGTATGTAAACTTGGCTTTAAAAATATTGATCAAAAGGGAGCTCTGGTGGCCTAGTGGCAAGAAGCTGCATTGCAATCTCAGTGGTTTGTGGTTTAAGTCCACCAGATGCTCTACTGGAGAAGGAGGGGCAGTCTCCTCCTGTATCAGTTAGATCTGATTTGACGGTACACACAAAAAATAATAAAATATAAAAAATATTATTGATCATAGGCCCTTTGTAGACCAGTTAATTCATTTTGGGAACACCCCAGGGTCTGCTATTTGTTTGTAAACTTTTCAAGTAATTGTATGATTGTTGATAAACCCAGGGCTAGATAAATCATCTAGAAAACATTGCGCCTTGACTTTGGGTTTCTCCTCTCTTCAAAACAACGAGGCAGAGATTGGGTATCAGGTGAGCAGTTTAGTCTCTAAGAAGGTATGAATTAGCTCACTTTTCTCCCATTGAGACTTTAGACAGGCTTTTCTTTGGGCGCCACTTTGCTGCTGCCTGTTTTTCAAGCTGATGATTATGAAAACCAGCACCGAGAAGGATGTGAACAGAGCTTGATTTACTTAGACATTATGTTTGAGATCATGTCCTGGGAAGTGCCTGATTGTTTTTGTACAGCCATGGAATTTTTATCCTTTTCTACATCTACCTTGTGAACAGACTTGACTGAGGGCTGTGGTCCAGATGATACCACTAGGTGTCACCAAGGAGTGATGAATGGGGAAATGAGGCAAGATCCAAGGGTAAAATGTTACAAGAAAATTTTGAGAGCTTATTTTCTATCTCATAAAGGCTCTGGACATTAATGTAGAGGATCCAGGGGAGGGCTGTGATATATCTTGAAGGTTTAGCCCAGGGATTCCAGGGGAGGGCTGTGATATATCTTGAAGGTTTACCCAGGGATTCTTTTTGTCTCCAGCCTTGGGCTTTTTCAAAACAGCATGGACATGGGAACATCCACTAACTTTGTAAGGGGGAAGAATCCCCATCAGTAGCATCAAAACCCCTATTACTATGAGTTTAGACATCTCCTCCCTGTATTTTCCTTGCCCTCCTACAACACTGTAAACCTTTTCTACCAATTCTAAATCCTACTGTCCTTCTCAAGAAGATACTACTTCTCTAACTGAATTTAATGATTCATTGCAGTGGCCACACTGAACTCACAAAATACACTAATAGGGTTTCTTAAACTGTACTGCAATCCCGAAGGCACACTTTTTGAATCCACCAGATGCTCCCCTGGAGAAGGCAGGACAATCTCCTCCTGTGTCAGTCAATTTGATGGTGCACAACAAGAAAAAAAAAATAGGGTTTATTTAGCTTTTGTTAAAGAAGTATAGCAGCTTACAGTTCAGGATCAGGATGACTCACAGTACCGTGCTTCCATCAGGACAGCCTCTTCTCAGCTATACTTAATGGCAACTCTCTTTGTTTCTAGTTGTTGACCTCAGGACCTTGGCCCCTTCCTTGCTGAGGCAAGTGTTAAAATAGCTGTTCCATTCCATTTTACTAGTAACCTATATTCAAAGTTGCTCAGCTCGAGCACTGTGGTAGAAGGTTCTCACTCTGCCAGAAGGCACCTCCTCTGCCAGCGTCACTTAGTTTTTCTGCTGCCCGTGCAGCAGTTGGAACACCCCAACCCAGTACCCAAGTCTCGTGCTTTTTGCTGCTGTGCTTCCGCTGCCACTACTGCCACCTCATCTCACACCATATTACAGTTAACTCCAGTTCTTTTGTCTTTGGTTCTAGGAACTTTGACCATGGGCATCTCAGGCTCACTGGGTGTGCAGCACTCTCTGCCTCTTTCTTTTTTTTAAAACATTGGTTTTTTGTTTGTTTTTTTTTTATTATTTTGTGTGTGTATACCGTCAAATCAGATCTGACTGGTACAGGAGGAAATTGTCCCTCCTTCTCCGGCAGAGCATCTGGTGGATTCGAACCATGTACCTCTGGGATTGCAGTGAAGCTTCTTGCTACTAGGCCACTAGAGCTCCTTTCTGCCTCTTTCTTAATGGGACTAAGATCCCCACTTTCTACTCTTCCTGGGCTCAATTTAGCCTGGTACAGTGGCAGAACTAGCCATTCTCCATATTAGCATTCTCATTCTATACATCTTATCATTTAGCTTAATTACATTATTAATTACTATTGGTAAGCTATAACACCTCACCTACCCCTATTGTGAGAGAAAGTCGTTTGAAATAATTTACTATACAACAGGCTTCTGTAATCATATTTGGCTGTTTATTTCTTTTACCTTATCTTTGCCCTTGAGACTTCCTTAAATTTCTATAACTTGATATTAGATGCCCTCCCCTGGCACCTTACTTTTGTTGAGACATTTTTCCTGTGTGTAATCTTAAAATTGACCACTCTGCTCAAAAATTGCTTTCAAATAGATTTTTCTGTGCTTCCATCCCCTTCCTTTGTTATTTCCCTGTGAGTTGTTTCAGAATTCAACAGAACTGAAAGGATGGACAGATGAGCCAGGTTCAGTCCAAAGAAATGGGTTAAGTCTGTCCCTCTGTCCGTGTGTATTCTAGTGTTCTCCTCCTCTCCTCCTTCACTCTTCATCCCCCACCCCCAGCCAAATAATGCAAAACCATCAACAAGAGCCCAGTACCAAACTAGAGCTGAAAGCTGTTTGCTCCTGGCTTTTTATCCTCTGAGCCTTGGAATCATGCCACCATGGTTCTCATATTTGGATTGACCAAGTATTTTTTTTCCAGCAGAAAAAGTAGATAACTATAATTTCTAACATAAATATGTCTTAATTCCACTTCAGATGTGAGCTTCATCTCTGGCCTGCCTTCCAAAGTGAATCCTTGAAACAAGTTAAAATGCTTATCTAACTTTTTTTTCTAACTTTTAATGTCTTCATTTATTTAAAGGCCATTCTGGGTCCTATTAATTTCTTGTAGTCGCTCTTAGCTAACCAAACTCTATGTGCACTTCTAGACCAGCATGTGGCTTCTCAAAACAAATGTATTGCTGTCACCTTGGCATTGACTTGTAGGGAATTCTGGCAGGTTTTTAGGAGGCTGTCAGTCACACAGAAGGAGGTTGCCCTTCTCTCTCCCATGGAGCCCTTGGTGGATCTGAACAACCAGAGAGGGGCCACTTCTGGGTTAAAAGTGCCATCCATCATGAACTAGGTCACCCCAGCTCCCTCCTGTTGTGTTTGCCAGTTAGGTGCAAAAAGTTGAGGGTTTTTTTCAGTTCTTATTTTGCTTTTAGTATATTTACCTTGCTAGATGCTAAGTATAGAATTAAAGTTACTATTGATAAATCAATTGAACTAGCAAACAGTAATAGTGAACACTCACACCATGTTTATCATGTACCAGGCACTGTTCTAAAATACATATGTTATCTAATTCAATCTGTACAATCACTGTGATGGAGATAATATTATTTACCCTTGTGTCGTAACTTGGATATAGAGAAGTTAAGACTTCTTACCAGTATCACACAACTATTAAGTGATGAAACCAGATTATAAAGCCAGGCTGTTGGACCCCAAAAACCTGTGCTCTTATGCCCTGCACTATGGCTTAATTAAATTTGTAAAAGTAAGCATTTATTGTGTGTGTGTGTTTGTGTGTGTGTGTGTGTGTGTGTGTGTGTGTGTTGACCACTTACATGAATGAGATAATGCTTTATCTGATTCAGTCTTCAAAGGACTAGTATGAGGTAGCCGTTACACTGTATATATATTAAATAGAGGTGCAGATGAGTAAATTGCTTTTAGTCATGTAACTAGTAAGCTCTACATAGTGCAGCTGGGCATGAACTCAAGTCTGTCTGAGAGCAGCCTCCTAGCCACTGTGCTATATTGCCTGTGGACCTCTGTTGCTTCTGACTGAATGGAATTCAACCCCAGCACACGGTAATGGTACTCTCTTTATTAACTTAAAAATACTATGAAGTGTGTTGCTTATTTACCAGCATGTTCCAGGGACACTTCCAGGGATAATACCTGAGTGACTTCCCAGCCAAGTCTACTTCATTAACCTCTTTATTAGATACTACTTCCTTGACTAACAGCAGTTTTTCAGGCTTGGTCCATTGCCCTCAACTTAAACCAGTAGGAGCTATTCCGTTTCATATTTCCTGTTGCATTTGTTTGATTACTTCATCCACCAGTAATGAAGTGATTCTGCCTGTTTATATAGACTATTCTTTGTGGAGGCATGAATGTGAATTATAGGTAAAAATTCAAAGTACTAAAAAAAAAAAAATTCAAAGTACTGTGTGAAGAATGTTGTTTGTAAGGATGATAGTTTATGAACTTTTTTTTCCTGTTTGTTCTCAAGGGTTTTCCTTCAGAAAAGGCAAAGGGTTTGTAGCAGCGGTAGAGAAATACTATTAAGGGGGGGATATCATGAATCTTATTTCATCTCCCTTTCCATCTCCTCAGAGTCTGAATGGGGTTTGGCTGAACAAAGAACGTCTGGAACCTTTAAAGGTCTATTCCATCCATAAGGGAGACCACATCCAACTTGGAGTACCGGTGGAAAATAAGGAGAATGCTGAATATGAATATGAAGTTACTGAAGAAGACTGGGAGAAGATACACCCTTGTCTTGCCTCAAAGAGTGTCCAGATGATGGAAAAAAATAAAGGCTTAAGGACTAAAAGGAAATGTAGTTTGGATGATGTGCTTGGTGCTGGAGCTGAAGGTCCCTCAAATTCAAAATCAAAAATTCATAAAATATCTTGTGAACCTGATCATCCAGAGATGTCACATGTGAAAGATGAAGTGGCCATTCAGCCCTCTGAATATTTGGATCCTAAGTTGACTTCTCTTGAGCCCTGTGAGAGCACCACAGGGGCTCACACTAGCATGTCGCCCCCAAAAGTAGTTGCAGTTCCTCATAAGAAGAAAGCCACAAACCCGTCTGTATCTCAGAGCAGTTTAGAGCAGCTTAAGGTGACCATGTCTAGGATTCTGAAGCTGAAAACTGAGGTACAAGAGAAGCAGGTAGCTGTCCTGAATGTGAAAAAGCAGAACCAAAAGGAGAACTCCAAGACAGTTGTGAAAATGGAGCAGGAGCTGCAAGATTTACAGTCTCAGTTGTGTGTAGAGCAGACCCAGCAGCAAATGAGAATGGAGCAGCTAGAGAAGACGTTCCAGGAAGAGGAAGAACATCTCCAGGTACCACTCGGGAGGGAAGGACAAGTGTGGTCTTTGGGGGCCAGGGGAGGAGGGGGCAGGCAGGCCTTCCATGAACGTTTGACCAGATGCTCTCTGTTCCTGGCCACGGACCAAACACTGGGTACCAAGGGCAGAAGATGGCATGGAAGCAAAAAAGTTTGAGATAAGAGGGTTGAGTTAAAGGGTATCGTTTCATCATGTCAATAAGATTAGGAGCAGAATTAGGTGTAAAGACAGGGTAAGGTGATCAGCAGAGCCAGCTAGGATGTAACTGATCTCAAGATAAAAAACTAAGGCTACTTTGAACCAAAGTAAAGTCACAGACAAGTTAGAGCAAGGTCAGAGGCCATGGAAACACAGTACACATCATTGGAGCCAGTAGTTCACTGCCTTAGTGGGCAGAGACAAGTAAATTTAGCCCTATGTCAGGTACAGGCTACCTAGTTACTCTGTCTTTCTTGTACCTGGATGCTTGTTAGCTGAATATTAGTAAATTGTATATCTAACCCAGGAGGTGGAAAGCTAGGAAAAGGCAGGAAATGTCTTTTGATTTTGTCCTGAATACTCAACAAGGTAGGGGAATAATACACCATGACTCAGGTGTTGGGCTGAGTTAGAAGGTACTTTTCATGGTTTCTTTAGCAGAAAGGTAGAGTAGTTACTGTCTTGGCTGTGTTAATGTTAAGACCAAATGTGTCACAGTTGCTGAGCCTTTGCTTAGATGACAAACTCATGGAGCATTTCTAGACTAGAGCTGATCCTGGGCTCTGTTCAAAATGTCAGAACCCATCTGGCAGAAAGCACACATTTTACTCCCATCTACTTGCTCAGGTGATAATGAATGTCAAGAATTCCCCAATGTTCAATTAAAACTAAGTTGGACCATATCACTACTGAAGTGAATAAGCTTTTATCTTTGTTTGAGCTGCTCAGAACGAGGAGCACCAGAAGTAGTGTTGGATTATTTTTGAACAATTTATAAATTTGGTTCTAATATCTGCTGTCCCCTTAGAAAAGTAATATATTAGAAAAGGCCATGAATCATATACATGGATTATTGTGTTTATACTTTTTTTTTTGCTCCCCTTATTTAGTCCTGACTAGTTCTTGGAATTAGTAAGAGGTAGTTTATCTTTAAAAGTTAATGTATCATATCTTCACTAGAGCAGAACTCCATAAAGATTAATTTGGTTAGAAACAGTAGGTTAACTGTTAATTCATATTTGTAGCCCCTGTGGATGTATAGCTACAAAATCTTTCTCCACAAAATGCTAAAGAAAGGTAAAAAGAATAGATTCGAAGATTTCTCCAGATATTTAGAGGTCATGTAGAAATTGTTCTTGTTGTTAGGTGCAGTCAAGTCAAGTACGACCCATAGCAACCCCAAGAAAACAGATCTGAACCCTGTCCTATCCTGTGCCATCCTCATAATTTCTGACACACCAGAGCCTATTGCAGTAGTTACTATATCAGTCCATCTGGTTGAGGATCTTCCTTTCTTTCGCTGACCCTCCACCTTCCTAAGCATGATGTCCCTCTCCAAGGAATAGTCTACTAGCAACAGGCCTGAAGTGTAAAAGATGAGGCTTTGTCATCTTGCCTCCAAGGAACATTTTGGCTGCACATTCTTCATTTGTTCTTTTGTCAATCCAAAGAATGTTCAGTACTCTTCCCCAACCACAGTTCGCATATCTAGTCAATTGTTTATCAGATGCATTTCCCTCTGCCCACCAAGCCAAAGAGATTTATCCTGTCCCTAATCCTTGCTCCAATCCCAGCACCACATTTTTCTTTATATAGTCCATCTTCTCAAAATGGATTGACTCAGTAACTACAACATTGAACTTTGAGCATGACGAAGATTGTAACAGTGGCTCAGGACAGGGCAAGGTTCAGATCTGTTGTTCGTAGGATTGCTGTTAGTTGTAGTTGACTGCATCTAACAACAACAACAACAGTACTTGCTCAGAAGCTCATTTGGCCCTTGCTTCTTCACTTAGATTTGTTTGAAATACCCATGCAGCCTGGCACTACTCTTGGAGTTCTGGTAATTATACGAATAGTTTTTACCATTAAGGTCTAGATCAAGAACAGTTTCAAATCAATATATTCAATCAGAGAACAGTTTCAAATTGATAATGTTAAATGTGTGCTGATTGCGTAAAGCAGAAGGGGAAGGGCCCATACATTCCTGTATAAGAATACTGTCTGTAGATAGCGATGTGGGAAGGCCACTCCGGAGGGGAGAGTAGGGAACTGTAGCATAACCTTGGGCGAAGAGGTAGAAGGAACAGTTAAGGCGCTCTGAGAATCTAGAATGGAATGACTTGAATTGAGAGCAGAAACATAGTAGAACTCATGAGTACTAGGTTGGGGATTATATCTGAGTTTAGTTATTTGATGCCTCTGGAGCTCTCTGTTTACATCATTTTGAAGTGATTAAAGAGCCAGTAAACACGGATGGTTAGCCTCGGGTTTTCCAGAACAGCCTTAGTGGTGGCTTGAAGGTGACAAGTCCAAGGTTTGCATTATTTTAGCAGATATCTCTGCTTACATCCCATATTATCAACAGTGTGAAGTAAAGTGAGAGGGTTTTCATCTGCTTCCTGCCCCCTGTTGTTTCCAGATGCTCATGCTATCTGGTCCGCTCTGCATGTTGCTGGATTTTGTGCCTTTCTCCCCCTTATCCCTGCAGTGAAACCTTTCTTTCTTTCTTTTTTTTTTTGGCTTTTGCAGAGTTTGGAGAAAGAGCAAGGAGAAGAGGACCTGAAGCAACAGCTGGCCCAGGCTCTGCAGGAGGTAAGGTGTCTCTTGCCACTGCCCTGAGATGATAGTGGGCTGCAGAGTGAGACGCAGCCAAGCATTTCATGGCCACTGCTGCTTGACCCAAACCTCTGTGGTGTCTCGTTTGTAAACAGAGCAGATGGCAGCTGCTCACACCATCAGGTTGGAGATTTGGAGCCCCCACAGACAGGCATGCCAGACTGGCAGCATGGAAACTTACATCTTCATCCGAGCAGAAGGTGCTCTAGTGAAGATGGAATGGAGACTGTAGCAATTTGGAGACTCTCTATGGGCAGAGGCTCCACTTCCACAGAGGTGAAGGCAGTGCAGGGGAAATGGGAGCTATGACAAGGCCACCAGCAAGGGCTCCATTCCCACTCCTAATCTGTAGCCATCCAGAAACCCGCCAAGAAAGTTCTAGTTAAGCATTTAAGTCAGACTGAGAGTGTGCAGATCAACAGCAAAGCATAACCATTTCCTGAAAGGGGGAGGGTCACGGAATAAAATTCTCCTAGCAGTTGTCTATCATTTCTTTCATGTAGGCATCTTCTTACTTTTTTTATGTCATGATTATTCATAGCTTTTGTATATCTTCAAGCTTGCTTTGGTCTTTTTTTATGATTAGTGAGTGACTTGAAACAATTTTAGTTAGGAGGTTAGTGAGATGGTTCAGATCTTCCTGAGAAAAGTGGGCGAAACACTAGAATTTGTTCAGGGGAATTTATCTTCATGCACTTTTTTATTGCTGCCCCCACTCTCAAGTTTCTAACAGTGCTCACAGTTGTATATCATTTTAAGCAAGACAGAGTACCTGCCTGGTTTTCATTGGAGGGGGCACAACGTGGGACAGAGTTAGGTGAAGGTGAATTCAACCTCTTCGGAATCTCTGGTGGCTAAGGAAGTTGCCGTGCTAATGCAAGGACCATGCCTCTCTGCAGGAGAATGATGGACAGTCTCCTGTGCTATTTACAGCTTCAGAAACCCACTGGAAGCTCAGCTGTGAGTTGGTTCTGACTCCATGGCAACGACTATGACTTTTTTGCAATTTTATTGTCTGAGCTTATTTATTTTCTAGGGTGGGAGGGTGGTCCTGTGTCCTATTTAGAGTTCTCAAACATCATTAAATTTAATATTCATATACTTTTTTAAAATTAACTAGAAAAGAAAAATTCTGCTACTTGGAAATTTCTTGCATCATCATTGAGTTGTCTGTACCCACAACTCTTTACTTTCTTTGTAAACAGACAGGATGCATACCCATCATTTGACGTCAGGTACTTGACCAGGCTGCATTCATTAGCTTACAAACCTGTTATAAAATCTTGGTTCTATTCCAGCATCCCTGTGAGACTTGCCACTCTTTCAGCTGAATTAATGTTTGATCTTTTGGTCTACCCTACTGGTCACTCTGAAATGATTTTATTTACTAGGCCATTGTAAAAACTTGCAATAAATGCAAATAGATAACACAACACTCAGCTCATTGCTGTAGAGTCAGAATTGACTTATAGATGCTCTAGAGGTTTTCAGAGGCTGTAAATCGCATAAGAGGAGACTGCTCATCTTTCTTCTGCAGTGAAGCTGGTGAATTCAAGCTGTGTACTTTGGACTTGACTGAGCAAGTCCTTACCCACTAGGCCACCAGAGCTCTCTTGCATTATGTGTTGTTAATTGTTTTTATGTACCACTGAGTCAGAACCAACGCAGAATTGACCCTCCAGCAGTTTTTCAGAGGCAGTGAATCACGTAGAAGGAGATTTCTCCCCTGGAGCAGCTGATGGTTTCAAACCACATGCCTTTGGGATGGCAGTGCAGCCTTTTATTACTAGACCCCCCCCCCCCCCAAGAGCTCCATTGCATTTATTTAGAGCATAAAAAAACTTTTCTGAATGCCTTGTTTTCTTCTGAAAATAAAATGTGGGGAAGGTACCCATTTTGCAGATGAGAAAGTTAAGTCTAATTAGTGGTTGGGATGCAGACCCAGGCCTCCTGACATAAATGCTTTTATGGAGACCACACATTTTAAAATTTGTTTATTGAGTAATAAAATGTAAAAATCCTTGCTTTTACTCTACCCTCTTTAAAAACAGAAGCCCTGGTGGCATAGTGACTAAGCACTTCGCTGCTAACTGGAAGGTTGATGGATTGAATTCACCATCCACTTCTTGGGGAAGAACTCAATAACTCATTGCAATCAAGTTAGATTAGACTCATAGCTAAGCCTCCAGTAAGTTTTCAGAGTTTGTAAATCACACAGGAGGAAAGTTTGCATCTTTCTACTGAGGAGCAGCTAGAGGATTTGACCCTCATGCCTTTGGGTTGGCAACTCAAGTCTCTACTTACTAAGCCACCTGAGTTGGTGATCTGATCTCATAAAGATGACAGACTGTCTTAGAAACCCTATGACACACTTCTGCTCTGTCCTTTGAGTCAGAATTGACGTGATGACAGTGTTTTTGTTTTCCTTTCAAAAAGGATTTGAGAAAAGGTTTTTAAAGTATAAGCTGTACTTAAACTTGAGGGAGCTCATACGTTTTATTCCATGGAAGTGGAACCTCTTGACATTTGGTGTAGGCAGTTAGTTACACTGAATGAACTATTAGCTCTTGACTATACCAGCTTCCAGAAAACACTAGTAAAATTCAAGCAGCATTACTTTATGAGCATATAATGTGCAAACTGTAGAATAAATTGTTTAAAGAGATAAGTATTTTTAAAATTTCAGTAAAATTGCCTATTTTGATTCCCTGAATCTCATTTTCTCCTCATTATTTCTCAGAAACCATTTCCAAGACTAGTTAGTCTCACGGCTACTTAGTAATTCTCTCTCTCTTTTTTTTTTTGTTTTGTTTGTTTTTTGGGTTTTTTTAGTAATTCTTGCGCATTAGTTCTCAGAATCACTTGGGTTGCTTTTTTAAAACACATTCCTGGATCCCAAGCCAAACCTATAGAATCAGACTCTGGAAGGCAGTAAAAGTTGTTCAGATGACTTGGATAACCATCTGCACTGGAAACAGCTAATCTGGAAGAATCAGTAGACTTGATGACCTCTCTTCCTTGTAGGGGGAAAACCCCCATAAGGTAGAGGTGATATCCTGAAGGAACTGGCTCAAGGGATGGAGCAAGCTAAAAGGTGGGGCCAAAAGGAAGGGTGTTGCATATATCAGTCACCGTGAACGTGTATCTGTTGTGTTCTTACAGCATCGAACTCTCATGGAAGAGCTCAGTTGCAGCAAGAAGAACTTTGAGGCAATCATTCAAGCCAAGAACAAAGAGCTGGAGCAGACCAAGGTACTGGAAAGAAGATGGAGGTTTAGAATTTGGTTAGCACGTGCAACTCTGCATTTCTAACAGGGCAAGAGTTACCACCGTCAATGAAGAGAGAGATTATGGCTGGTCTTTACCTCAGAGAAAATCTCTAAAATTATTCAGGCTTCTAAGAGGTTCTACTTGTAAGACATCTGTTTCTTTTTCCCTTTATTCAGAAGTGAAGTGCCAGGAATAAGTCACTTACATCCTGCAGTAGCTATTCCTTCACCGTTTCACTGGCACCAGCTAAGGAGTAATGTAGTCAGAATAAAAAAGAGTTCATCCTAATACATTCTTATGATTGCTTCCCATATTAAATCAATGGAATTCTTAAACTAGGCTTGTAAATGCAAATGTCTAGCAGGCTAAACTGGTAATAGAAGTAAGTGAAATGGCCCTAGTGTAAGAACCCTGTAGAGAACTTGGAGGCCCAGCATATTGGAGTGAAGTGCTTGCCTTGTCCCCTCACCCAAAGAGGCTGCCTCTTGTTGCCATCCGGAAATGCAATTCTAATGCGATAGCTCTTCTGATTTTTCCACAGAAGATTGAAACTCAAATATTTATCTGAAATACCTGAATTTTCAAATACTAACAAAAAACCAAAAGAGGTTTTGAATACTGTGAGGCCACCAGTTTATAACCTCTGTCAGGATGAGGAAACCTTTTCAGTTGGTTTTATTTTCTTAATCTCTATTTAAATCACAAAGTACCTTCTCCCCCCCAACCTCCAAGCAACCAACACATTTTAAGTTTTCGGGGAATTTGACTGTGTTTAGAGATGAGTCCATACACTTGTTGTCAAAAATAGCTTGACAGTCTTTGAAAAAGAAATAAGCCACTCAAATAGACTCTAAAAAGCTTTTTATTTCCCTTCCACTTAGGGGTTACTGATATCTTCTATTTCAGGAAGAAAGATAAGTAGATATGCTTAAGTAGATATCTGAGAACCATTCTTCAAGAGAGCATATTTTAAGAATTGTCCCAAAAGTGTCAGATATCCACCTGCAGTCTGATCTCTTAGGGAAACCAAGAAATTTGAACTGTAGATCTCTGCAGATGTGACAAATAGCAGTTGTAATATTGCTTGGGGCTTGAAGGTGCTCGAGAGGTAGAGGTATCTCTTCAGCCTCCTATCTCCAGGGAATATTGGTATTATTTTGCAGAAAAAGTTGTAAAGAACTTTAGGGACCTATAACTAATTCAAGCTTCCTGCCTCCGTGGAGCTAGCTTTAGGTCTTCTTCCTTGTCTGTTGCATCTTTAGTTTAGGTGACCTTATGTCATCTCTGAACTGCAGGTTGTTGCAGATACCTAATGTCTTATTTCTTGGTGGTGTGCCACCTCGACATTTCTCATATTGTTAATTTTGGAGAAAGGGAGAAGTTACCATGCAAATTCTGAAAAAGAGAGAAGATAATTCCCTGTATTAGAAAGCATTTTGGCAAAACAGGAACCCTTAGCGAAAGTGTTTTATTCTCATCTTGCTCTACCAGAATGAATTTTTAATTTAGATTCCTTCTGAATCCTAGTCCAGACCATTAACCCAGCTCGCTGTCCTGTTTTGCATTCTGTTGGTTCTCTTGAATGACAGGTGGGGTTGTGTGTCTTTGCAGGAAGAGAAGGAGAAGGTGCAAGCACAGAAAGAGGAAGTTCTTAACCACATGAATGACGTCCTAGAGAATGAGCTCCAGTGTATCATTTGCTCAGAATACTTCATACAGGTAATTGTGACCACAGGAGCTCACCCCTTTTTGCCTTTCTAACTCTAAACGAAGGCTCGGCTGCACATGCTGCATCTGTGATAAGAGAAAAATTCCACTGTAGGAGATTTTTCTTGAAAAACTATACTCTTTGATGACTGCCAGAGAAGGGAGCTTCTTGGTTCTCTATTTCTTCTTTCTCCTTACTGATCTTTTTCTTATTTTACTTGTTCTTTCTTTTTTATAAATGTTTTTTAATTTTAATTATGATTTTAACAAAAGTTTACAGAAAAGTTAGATTTTATTCTTAAATATTTTCTTGATTTACTCAAAACTAAAACTTGTTGTCTAGTGAGAACTGACTCCTAGCTGACCCTCCAACAGGGTTAAATTTTTTCAGCCATAACGAAGCCTTTATTTCTTGGTTGGGAGGAGAAAATGGGACCACATGGCATTAAATTTGTAAAGTATCAGGGTAAAGATGCTCAATGAAACAATTCTATACTCCAAATAGACATTATGCTAACACTATTTTGAACAAAATGCTACTATTTGCAGTCGCTTCATCTTAAAACTGATCACAAGTATCAAAACTGAGCTTGTTAATAACTTTATTTCCAACTCCTTTAAAAGGGAAACGTCCATGTACATTGCTTTGTAGTGGCTTAATGGTAAGGAATTGCATGGTCAACACAAAGATACATGGTTTGAATCCACCAGTTGCTTCATAGAAGAAAGACTAGCAGTCATCTTCCATGTGATCTGCTGCCTCTGAAACCTACTGGAGGGTCAGCTATGGGTTGGTTCTCACTTGATGGTACACAATAATATCATCATCTTGGACCACCAGTATTAGAACTTGGGTTGTTCATGACTGCATTTCAGAGTCTTTTTTTTCTTAGGAGATTTTTATAGAAACTGGCTATAAAAAAACCTCCTCGAACTTTACTCCTGAACAGACCTTTTTCCCTACGGTAGAGAAACTCAGTGTTGTTTGACAGGGGTGTGGACCTTGTAGAAGACGACACGGAGAGGGGCTTGGGATGAATGATAGGTTAGCCACCCCGGGACATCCACACATTGATCTGTGTTTGTTTTACAGCATACTGCCTGACCTTACCAGTCTCTTCTTAGAAGTCAGTGTTGGGAGGATGTTTCCTTTTAATCAGACAGGATTTTTGTTGTATTTATGAGTGCTGTCTCATATTGTAAATAACATGTCCCCTAGTTCTCTTGCTTTCTGGGCTGAGCTTCGCATTTGAAAAATATTTCATGTCTATGGTATTGTCCATTGCTGTCCTAAAAGCAGGAATGAGAACTGTGAGCCTCAGAAAGCTGTATCATAAGAAATGTACATAAGCACAGTTAGTGAAAAGAATAGTTTACATTCTCTTCTTGGGAGTGAAAAAGACTCTGGGAGAAATCTAATCAGAGGGATTATGTTGAGGAGCCCTGGAGTCTGGGCGTCCTTTGCTTTCTGTCTCCTCAGAGGTTTTTGGTTTTTTTAAAATGGATTCAGGCACTTTAATGAATCCTGTACATTTTTCAAATATTTTTGTTTCTTATCTACTCACACTTTACATTTATTTGTTTTATTTCTTTGGAGATAATCCCTCCACCATTCCAGATACTAAATATTCAGCACATGTTCCCTTTGAGCTTCTACTTGACCATTGTTAGATGCAGGGTGAAAGACTTGCTTACCTTAAGAGACTTAGTGATGTATTTATGTCACTACATTCATGCACTGTGCACGTCCAGTAACACTTGTCTGTAGGGTGGCTAGACTGCTTTTGTAGTGTGGTCTGAGTTGATGGAACAAAACAAACAAATCACCTTCTCTAGGCCTGAATCCGTGGCCTTTAAGAAATGAGGAAATAAACTATCTAATAATAAAGCTTAAATTTCCCAACCCCAAGAATGATTCTGATTCCCTTTGTAGGTCCTCCCGATGTGATTGTGGTTCTTTGTATTTGGCCTTGGAAATCAGCTCCCAGCTTTGCTTTGAGATCACAGCTGCCCTAGAAAGTAAGTGTGATGTTCTGATGTGTGTGTGGTCGTTCTCGTTGTAGGCTGTCACCTTGAACTGTGCCCACAGTTTCTGCTCCTTCTGTATCGGTGAATGGATGAAGCGGAAAAAGGAGTGTCCTATTTGTCGGAAGGACATCACATCCAAAACTCACTCCCTCGTTCTGGATAATTGCATTAGTAAAATGGTAGATAATCTGAGCTCAGAAGTGAGAGAGCGACGAATTATCCTTATTAAGGAACGGAAAGGTGGGTAGTCATGAGAGTAACACCTGAGCAATGAGCTTAATATACTTTGCAGACTTTTAAAGCTTTGTGTTGTAATTTTACCTATAATTATAATGCTTGAGTCTTAGTTTTATTAGATAACCAGAAAAGTGGTGATATTACCATTTAAGAAAACTGAGGCTGAGGAAAATAAAACCAGTTACGTATACAGTATTAACACTGCAAGGTAGATAGTTACATTAGTTTCCTAGACTATGCATTAGGTGCTCTGATGGCATAGTCCATAAAAAGTTACACTACTGATAGAAAGTCTGCACGTCTCTGACAGTTCATATACACCAGGGGCTCTCCCAGAGAAAGCTGGGCAGTCTTCTTCCATGACACTTTTTAACAACTCACAACCCACTGGAAGGTCAGCTGTGAGTCAGTTCCAACTCTATAGCATTGAGTAGATTTGACATTACCAAGTACTGCAGGCTTCAAACAATAATAGTTTATCCTTTTACAGTTCTGGGGACTAGTTGTTTGAAATCAAGGCATCGGCAGGGCTATACCTTCTGAAGGCCTTAGAGAGAATCTTTCCAAGCTTCTGGTGGCTGTTGACAGTCCTAAGTATTCCTTGGCTTTTAGCTTTCTCACTCTAGTCTTTCTCCGTTATCACATTGCCCTCTTCTCTGTGCGTATTTATCTCTATCTTTAAATTGATCTTTACATGACACCAGTCATATTGAATTTATGAGAAACAAGTTTTTATGCCTTTCTTAACTTGATTATATCCACAAAGACCCTATTTCCAAATAAGGTCACATAACAGGTACTAGAACTTAGGACATGCGCATACCTTTTTAGAGAACACCTGCATTTATAATTCATCACCTTAGAAAGAATTGATACCCTTCCTCTTTTCTAGTCCCCAAGCATTTTTTTCTTCTTCATTTATTTTCTCATGTAACCAGATTTTTTTACCTGTTCCTTTAGTAGACAAAAATGAGGGTCAGGGTTCACTCAATGCGTCTCAGCTAATCATTTAGGTGAAAAGGAACAAGAAGAGCATTGGGCATTTAAGTCCTGGTGCATGAGCAGTACTGAGGCTAGCACAGTTAGGAGGAATAGTCCAAGAATGCACTACTGATAGGTTTGGGAGGATTTGGCAGGCAGAAAACTGCTCATATGCTTTTCCAGAGATGTTAGAATTCCTGGACAGCTGATTTATCTGCCAAAAAATATCTCCTATTCTTTGCCTTAAAATTTCCCAATTGGTAACTAAATAATTTTCCTTTTTAAGATACAAATGCTCCTAGAGAGATTTAGGAGGCTTTCTGTCATTCACTGTTCCATCACTTTTCACTCTGTGAGCAGTTGGGACCCTTGGATATGAGCCGGCAGCCAGCTGGGTATCCGTCTAAGCATGCATGTGGTCTAGACGTTTTAGCGCCATAATGACTGAGGTCACGGTGGGATCAAATCCAAACCCTATGAAAATCCAAGTAGGATTTGATTTCTCTCCTAATGCATTGCTGAACTCTTTGAAAATGAGAGCATGAAAGCATTCATGTATGTTATCACTGTATTATAAACTGCAGTACAAGTTAAAAGTCCCTGACCTCAAGTTATTTCTTTTTCTAAATCAGGAGGCAGTGTACCACCTGGACTTAATAACAAGCCCAGATAGTGTGTAAACCCAGAGTGAAGGATGGAGGCCCCTCAAATCAGCATGATCCAGTCAGAGACTTTGAATTTTGTGCTGGAACCGAAGGCAGAACTCTGTGTTAGAACTAAAAAACCATTCTTACATCGTTACACTTGTCTTTCCAGAGTGGATGTTTCTGGCTTACAGTGGTATAATATAAAGGGGTCCCTCGTTTATAAATGAATTATACCCCCAAGTAAAGAAAATGTGTATAATTATCCTTTTATTGGTTTTCTTCTTTTGTCCTCCTTTAGAAAAATTATTGTGGTAAAATGCACAGACAATTAAAAATTTAGCATTTTTAAGTATACAGTGCAGTACACTCAGCCTATTTGTACAAACTTCATCACTATTCAATTCCAAAAGCTTCCAGTACCTCTTAGACAGTAACTCTCTACTTCTCCCTTCTCCCCTATAATCGCTATTTAACTTGTATCTCTTTGAGTTTGCCCATTCTAGATAGGTGTGAGATTATACAGGGTTTGTCCTTTTATACCATGTTCATTCCCTTTAGGATCATGTTTTCAAGAGTCTTAGTCATACATTTATCAGAACTTCCTTTTTCTTTATAGCCAAGTAATATTCTGTTTATATGTATTTGCCACATTTTGTTTATTATCCATTTTGTCTTGTTGATGAACACTTAAGGTTGTTTCTACCTTTTGGTTATAAAGAGCACTGTGAACATGTGTATGAGTCAAGTCTCTTAGGTTTGTGTGTACCTAGAAGTTGAATGGCTGGATCATGCAGTAATTTTGTGTTTGAGGAACTGCTAAAATATTTTCAGTAATTACTGTACCATCTGGGGCTTCGTCTGACATACTTTGGACATGTTGCAAGGAGAGACAGGTCTTTGGAGAGGGACGTCATGCTGGGTAGAGTAGAGGGACAGCGCAGGAGGGGAAGACCCTCTATGAGGTGGATTGATTCAGTGACTGGGGTAATCGGGATGGGTGTGTCAGAGGCAGTGCGGTTGGCACAGGATAGAGCACGGTTTAGGGCTGTTGTACATAGGGTCGCTATGAGTCGCAAATGACTTGACGGCATATAACAACAACAACAACAACAACAATGACTATACCATTTTACATTCCTGCCAGTCATCCACAAGGGTTCTAATTTTTCTACATTCTCAGCAACACTTGTTATTTTTCTTTAATAATAGCTATCCTAGTGGATGTGAGGGAGCCCTGATGGCCTAGTGGGAAGAAGGTATGCTACAATTCCAAAAGTACAGGCTTCGAATCCACCAGGTGCGCTCCACACACAGGAGAAGGATGCACAGTCGACCCTCCTGTGTGACTTACTGCCTCTGGAAAAAACCTGCTGGAGGGTCAGCAATGAGTTGGTTCCAGCTCAGCAGCAGACAACAGTGGATGTGACGTTTTGATCTGCCTTTCCCTAATGATTAAAAAAAGCTTAGATCGCTTACGGCTGGCATAGGATTAGGCGCAGTTTCACTCTGTTGTTCACAAGGTTGCTGTGAGTCAGAATCAGCCCAGTGGCACCTCACAGCACAGCATCAAATCATAGAATATTATATGCACAGACCTCACTAAAATTTATATTATTGTTACTTATATGTAGAACCTAATTTTGAGTAATTCTTCAGTTTAATCACTAGAGTCGAGTCTCAGGAACTCTTCGGATATTAGGTGGCTGCATAATTCTGTTATCTCATTTTAAAAATATCAAACAAAAAGAAAAAACTCAATAAAAAGTATGTTAATAGAGCTAAGCATCCTTTTGTCTCTCTCTTGAGCTTGGTCCCTTGCTCGTTCCTCTTTCTTCGTTCTGTCAGTTGATGTAGAGTGTACCTGCCATTAACTAACCAGTTAGCCACAGGTGAGATCTTGCATTTGGGAATGTCTTCATCATACTCTCTCACTTTTGAGGTGAGGGTAGAGTGTCTTTTAGCTGAGTACAGGTTTTGAGCTAGGGTGATGTTTTCCTTTAGAATTTTGAAAGCACTGCTGAGTTGCTTTACAGAGTCCAGTGTAGCTACCAAACAATCTAATGCTGTTCTTATTCCTGGTTTTCATTATTTGATCTAATTTTTCTCTGGAAGCTTTTAGGATCTCTTCTTTAATATTTTGAAGTTTTATAGAGCTATTCATTAATATGGTCTCTTTCAATCATTCAAACTGGCCATTTTGTTGATCATTTCAGTTTTAAAACTCATGTTCTTCATGTTCAAATTTTGGGAAACGTCTTTGATAATTCCTCCTCTACAAGTGCTATTAGTTGAATTTTGCCCCTTTTGAACTTTCATTTTTCCTTTCATTTTCTTATTATTTTCCTTCCGATATTTCATGTCTTTGTCTTTTTATTGTACTTTTTATGAGCCTTTTTACCACCTTAATTCACAGTCCTCCTAAGGAATTTATTTCTGTTCTCATTTTTAATTTTCAAGAACTCATTTTAAAATTCGCTTTATGTTTCTTTTTTATCCCATTCTTGTTTCATGAGAGCAGTATTACATTTTTTAAGAATATTAATATAACTTTTACTTCATTTCTTATATTGTCCTTTTCTTTTGGATTTCTTTTAAAATTTATTTCTTTGGAAAGCATTCCTCAACTATCTTGTGCTCCTAGAGAATATGGTTCTTCTTTAAGAATGATAAACTAACTGCTAGTTGGAGTTCCATATGTTTGGGGAGCACTTGTAAACTGTGGAACTCTAAAATAATCTGTTAAGACTTTACTGTTTGTTGAGGGAATCTCTAACTTAGACTGCTTTATTAGGGCTCTTGATTAGACTGATTTCCCCAGAGTTGAATCTTTCTGTCTCCTTACCTGAGGAGGATGGGAATGAAAAAGGTTAGATAGGTTGGCGAGACTAAGTAGGAAAAGCTCAACTTTCTCTCCCAGAGCAGCTGGTGGATTTGTGGCCTTTCTGTTGGCCTCACAGCTCTGTACCACTAGGACACCAGAGCTCCCTCAACCTAAATTAGTGTTCTCAAACCTAGAGTTTCTGCTTCAGTATCTCTAGATAGGTAACATCCAATCTTATACTGGCTTAGAAGAGGAAATGATTTTCCCCTGTTGTTTGTGTAAAGTGGGGAAGGGAGTACAGACTTCAGACTTCAGTTAATCTATATCCAGCCACTTCCTGACCTCTCCATCAAACGCACGCATGCATGTCCGTGTAGGCTTAGAGTTCAGCTTTCCCACTGTGTTGAGAGGGCTCTCTACCTGCTGTGACTTCCTCTCTTTATTCTGTTCTTTAGCATTTATTTCATACATTTTAGATTTACTGTCAGTTGAGTGGCATTTTGGAGGGAACAGAAATAACTGTGGATTATTGTTGTTAGTTGTTTTTGTTGTTAGGTGCCTT